AATAATAATAATAATAATAATAATAATAATAATAATAATAATAATAAACTAACCCCATCCAAAAGCATCCTGAACAGTATTATGGAGCATCAGAAGACCAGGAAGGAGTCTGGTCAACTTCCCTTGGGAAGCAGTTCCAAAGCCCAGCCTCTGAAGTTGAGGTTCATTCCCACAACTAATTTTAAATTGAAGGCAAGATACCTTAACTGGGAAATCATGGCAATTGCTCTAGCAGAATCAGTAATCTTTTAAACCCAATACATTTCCTTGGACCTAGAGTGGGGAAATGGGCTTACAGTGGCACTGCAGCAGTATAGTCAAAGTGAAGGACTGATATTGGAGAGAAAAGTCAGAATATAAATGCAACCAGCAAGCAAGCAAGCAAGCAAGCAAAGAATTCTGTCACAGAGCTTTGAACCACATGGCTGTATGGCTGCATGTGACTAGCTTAGCTCATGAATGCATCTCATCCAGGCAACACTGCCCATTTGATGTCTATGCCAATCCATTAGCCTGATTCTTCCCTCTATTGCTGCCTCTTAGAAGACACTGTGTTGGTTTCCATTTTAACCAGAGGGTTATTTAGCTACAAGGAAGCTACACATAATTATGGGGACAACATCTTCTCAGAGAACAAGTCTTATAGTCCAGGTGTGTGCAAATGTGGTGATACTGCCACTCAGAGATGAAGGCTGTCACTCCCAGAGCAGGGAGCTTCCAACCATTCTTCACAATGCATGGGTTAGAGGTGTGTGAACTTCTGTTTGTGTCCCTGTGGCTAAAGAACTCCTACAGAACTTTCTTGCACAGCTAATACCCTTTGCTTTGGAAAAAAAACATAATAAAAATCTGACTGTAAAATAAGACTGTAATAAAATAAATTACAGTTACTGCATAAGACTTGATCCATAGCTATTTGGAGCCAGAGCTGGAATAAGGAAGCCTTTTCTGAAAACATACAGGGTTAGACTAACACGGGGTGAGTCAGCTAACTTATGCTGTTGCTCAGCTAATCCTATGCATGTTTAGATAAAAAAAAAAAGGGGGGGGGGTACAATTCCCAGCACAGGTGGCCCAGTAGTGGCAAATAATGCAGAACTTTTTTCTTGCTAAATGTGCATTTGATTGTGTCTTGAATCACTTAGTCATGACCAGGGATGTTGCAGGATTTCTTTTGGTCTGTACTCTGGAATGAACAGACCTAAACTGTACATCCTGGGCTAAGGTGAGGATCAGAATAGGATCTGAAGGTGAGGAAGAGTTATCCTTCATATTTTGCATTTCTGTCACTCAGATCCCTTCCATCTTTCAGACTTTCCTTTTGGAAATGCATTTTGCTTTTAGGAACTACAAACTACCCGGGTTTGAGAGCTGAGACCTGAGTGGTACAGTGATTAGACTGTTGGAGTTGGACTCAGGGGAACTGGGTTCTGGTTCGTAGCCGTGAAGCTCACTGGGTGACATTGGGCCAGTCACAGACTCTCAGGCGGACCTGCAAAACTGGGAAGTAGATGAGGAGAATCATACAAGCTCCTTGCTCCTTGCAAGTGGAAAAAGTGGCAGGATATAAACATGATAGATAGATAGATCAGTCTACTATCTGTGTTCTGAGCATGAACAAAAGCACATGGGGAAGTAGTTCAAATCTGTAACACTCAGGATGGTGCCCTGCACCTGAGCTCTCATCTTACAGTGGACCAGTCTTGAAGGACTGACATATCCCTTTCCGCCTGGGGGCCAAAATCCATTTCAGAGAAGCTCTTGGGAGCTGCACTCCAAGGCTGGGTTAGGGCTAGAGCAAAAGGGAAAAAAATGGCAGGGTAGGGGGGAGACCTAAAATATATTTAAAAATGCCAGTATACTTTTGCTTGGAGCTCTTACTGACTGCTAGAATCAGCCTTAGGAGAGACATTTTTGCCTTTTAGAATGGGAGAAAAACCTGTGTGTGAGCCAAGAAACCACCAAAACACTGGCAGCTGAGGCAAAGGGTGTGGCCATCTAAGGACCTCCAAAGGCCCAGACTGGGACCTCACAGAGACAGGATATGACCCATGGCACTGAGGTTTACCCTGCAGTATTGTCTGTTTTGTCCAGCAGCTTTCTAGGGCCTCCATCCTTTCTCATCACCTGCCACTTCATCCTTCCAAGTGGAGGTGCCAAAGCTTGCTTCTCCTACTTGTCTGGGACCTTTCCCCCAGAGCAGGACTGCCAAAGCAGGAATGCAGCAAGCTGCTTCCCAGAAGCACCGGCATGTAGTCAGGATGGAATGAGCTGGCAATGTCAGGGAAATGCACACTTCACTGAATCTAAGTGATTATCAAATGAGAAATTAAGCAAATGCCCCACACCAGAGCCACTCTTTATGCTTCCTTCCCATCTGTGTGGGAGGGAGAGCAGATTGTGCCTGCAGGTTGCTTGCAATTACTAAAATGAAATAGATGTCTAAAAAGAAAAGAATAGAAAGGTTCAGTTAAGAACTCAGGGCTCAAGTGACAGAAAAACCTCCTTCTTAACATCAAGCTGGCTCTAGGTTAAACAGCTGCCTCGTGCCTGTGCCTGGAGCGGATCTGAAAGTTTCAGCAGCAAGAAAATGGTCTGGCAGCTGAAAGGCTGCTGCAGGGCAGTTCTAATGCTCATTCTGGTTTTTCTCTTCTTCATCTCTTTGCACATCTGGGAATAGCAAAGAGGTCGATGCCACTTCTGAAGGTCTCCACCCAAGCAGGTGCGTCTTTGTGGGGAGGAAAAGAGATTGGGGTGGGTGAGAATTCCCTGTCAGCTCATTTTTGGAATAACATGTGCCAATGTTCATAAATTTCTTGCTATATGGAATGGAAATAATTTGACTTAAAACATACTGTATCTGGGAGAAACTGAAACTGACAGGACTTTAGGTGCTTTGCTTTTAAAAGTCTGGGTGTGAGTACTTATGCATATTCAACCACGTCTGGAAAAAGTGATGTTTCCACTTCTCTTTTTCAAGCTGGATCCATCTTTACATGGTAGGCTGGTTTAACACAATCCTTTCCACACTGGGAATATCTCTGTCTATTGACTTTGGCCAGGGCAGATGGGTGAGAATTTCATTTTATTTTGGTTTCGATAATAATTTTCAAAACTTCATGAATGCCTTCATGATCAGGATGGAAAGCATTTGAGGGTAAATATTTAACCAATGTTGAAGAAAACAGAAATGACAGATTCATCCATCCATAGTCACAGAAGAATTGTTCCTCCTGTCACTTGTGTCAAAAATACAAACAGCAAATAGTTGTGAAACTAACATGGAAGTCAGAAACGCATAAGGAAACCATCTGTTGCATAATGTGATTACAAAGAAGACTAGCAGTTGGAAAAGCCATTGGAGGCAGGGACCCATGGTCTGGGGACTCCATACTTTGCTCAACATAATGGGTAATCCAGTCCCGTCTAAACAATTTGTTCTCCTTTTGTTACTATTGTATTATAATGATTAAAATGTTGACCAAAGCTTTACCATGTAATTCTTTTAGCAGAACACAGAGCTAGGGAAACAAAAGCAGACTTTCAACACAGATTTTATTTTATCTCAGTACCTCAAATCCCCGTGGTCTTCCTAAACTTTCTTTACTGTGTCTCCATGCAACAAGAATCTCTGATACAGACAGTCCTGTAGCTTTCACATCAGTGGGAGCAGTGCTGGGTTCTGCATTGAGAAAAAAAAAATGAAATAATAAAGCAGAGCCATGACAAGCTCAATCTATCAAAAATACTACAGTGGAATTCATCATACATTTCTCCTTCATTTGTCACATTACTCAGGATAAAATTCCACAGTTGTCCTGAGTTTCAGAAAAGCAATGCAATATAAATAATTATTTTCATTGTATTTCTCTATGCCATTTTTTCACATTTGTAGCACTGATTCGTCCTGAAAGATAGTGACCTGGAACTTCTATGTTGTGGATCTGTTAGGATTTGGAGTGTTGCTTGTCAACTAGCAACTTGTTGTGATGGCTGATGGATGTTTTGATCCTGCTTCTCAAAAAATTAGCTTAGGCTCTCTTACAATCAAATAGTTACAATACAATCACACTAAAAACATGAATTCAATAAAAAGCTCTCCTTAATATTTTGCTCTTGTATTGGCAGAGATGGCTGGTGACATCAATGTCAGCATTGCTTGGGGTTGCTTCCTTGAGTTCTGGTGATCCCGGAGCCCTTCTGTATCAAAGACTTTGATAAATTCCCCTATTTCTGAGTGATGTTGCTGTTGTGAGCTGCCCCCTCTCTCCTGGTTCCAAAATTCAAAACAATCCTTGGAAATGCAGCTCTTTCCTTGAGGCTCCACAGATAACAGAACAGTTGGAGCTCTAAATAGCCTTGTACCAAAGCTGAGAGGAGATGCCTCTGCTCATCTAAAGAGTAGAATCCAAAGTAGAGACTTCCCCTGGGTCCCCCCCTTTCAGAAATCTTCCAGTTCCACTTGTAGAGTGGCTCTGATTGAGGCAAGATGGCGTGAATGGCAAACCTCTCCAACAGAGCAGCTCATTTCTCCCGATACCTTCTCACTGGGTCAAGGACTACGTAGGTCTCAAGGATAGGCTGGACATCCACATGGTAGGCGTGTCATGAGTGGAGCCAGCTGGAGCCAGGGGTCAGACTAGATGGCAGGCCCCTTCTGACTCGCTCTGTTTCTGTTTCTGTGTGTTGTGCATGCTCCCTTTCCCCTCCTGACAGCTCTTCTTTCCCTTCCAAACCAGGTTGGTTCTCATGCTCAGCCTGAGGAACTTCACTAGGCAGCCTTGAAGGAGCTTCAAAGCCTTTGCCCCCTGCCATCTCCTCCTCTTCCTCTTCAGGATCCAAGGACTCCTACTGAACAGTCTTCAGTGTGCAAGAACCTGGTCAGCTTTCTAGAGATGCTTCTGTAGCCAAAATGGTCCCACCCACAGGAAAGAGAAAGGGGAAAACAAGCCTGAGTAAAGCCTTATTTTCTCAGAAGTACACATATTTTGGGGAGGTAGGAACAAAATGTCCATAACATGGAGGAGGAGGGAAGGAGAGAAACCAGCCCTGAGCACAGAATGTTGTCTGAATGTTATGGGAAGTCTCTGGAATGGAAAACTTAGGGTGGGGGGAGGTAGGATGGCATATCTGAGAGGAAGGCATAGTTGAATGCAATAGGGAGCAGGAACATGCTATGCTGCGACGTTTTGTTGTAAGTTCTCCTTCTAATTACCAATGTCAGAAAACCTTCTTAGGCCAGGTTCAAACTGTTGCACATGGAAATCCTGAAATGTACAAGGGTGACCAATTTTTATTTTTCTACATAAATAAATTTTATTTATTTTCCCCTTGATCTTGAATCAATGAAGAAATAGATGGGAAGTTTCCCTTTGCTGTGTACTGCACCCATAAAAAGCACCCAAATCACCCATTTCAAATACTGGAACAAGAGCTTGCAAATTTCAAAGCACAGGAGTCCAAAAAGACTAGAAAAAAAATCTTTTTTAGTTTTCTGCTTTAGGGCGACCTTATGTAATATGGCTGCATCAAGATCCCTTTGTGCAGGGTTTTAGTTAGGTACTTACCTTGATGTTTTGGTAGAACACCATGCACAAAAATTCCTGATGCTGCTATCATAACAACATTGCTTTTTTATGTAATGAATTCTCAGTGTTAATGTGCTTATCTACACCCACTCACAGGTCTTTTTAATGGTGGTAATATGGAAAGAGGATGGTGGTAAGAAGAGCAAAGGCACAGATAGCAGTTAAAAACAATATGAAACAAAAAATCTGCATGCACTGAATTTTGCATAAGTTTTGATATTTTTTAAAAGAGAGAAATACAGAAGGTTTCACTTTAGATTAGGTAGACTGGATCCACCAAATCAGGAAGAAATTCAGAGGAGGAAAACTTTAGAATCATTCTTCTAAATTGAAACTTGTTTGAGACCAGATTGAAACCTTACAACCCACGATGTAACCGTATTTCAGAATCTGTTTAGACACATATGAAACTCCTTTATACATTATATCATGTGAAGCTAATCAGCACTGGCTCCAGGTTTTTGAGGGCCCTTGAGCAAGACACCCTCCATGGAAGGCCTCCCAACATGAATCTACTTCCTACTCCCCATTGTCACCAACTGCTATTGCTTCTCTTCCCCTTTGCCATCAGAATAACCGTGCGCACGCTCAACACGGGGAGAGCCGGTGGGTAAGTAGGAAGAGCATCTTCTACTCCTACTTCCATCACTCCTTTGTCTGGACCAGAGTAACAGACAGGTGGACAGGCAGGTTGCCACGACGAAGAGGAGGAATACTTTCAGAAGACTCTTATCAGTGAGCCTTTGCTGGTGTGCAGGCCCTTAGAAGATGTCCAACCGTGCCTACTCTTGACAACAACCCTGAGACTATATGCCCATCAAGTCCAGTATTTCCTGCTCTGACAGGCAGAAATGCACCAGGTTCTCAGGCAGAGGTCCCACCCATCCCCTTTTTCATTGGGGATGTCATAAATTGAACCTGGGCATTCTGCATGCAACATACCTGCTCTACATGGAGCTATAGAGTGGCTTGGTGCCATTTCTGAGTTTTGGAATTTCAAAACGTTTATCTCCCATGTTTTTATAGTACAAAATGTGAAATGTTGTGGAGTCAAAGAAATATTATGCTTCAATATTTTCCACCCAATATGATTTTCTCTGCAGGAGGCACACCTTGTTTTCTGTTTTATGCATTACAAAGATTTGTGCATCGAAATCCATTTTCTTGATTTGATATCATTGAAGCAATTACTTTGTTGTCAGGGAAGATTGCAGTGGGACAAATAATTTGCGATCTACACAAAATGTTAGCTGGCAGTTTCCTATAAATGCAGAATCATTTCCTTTTCATGGAACTGTACTGCTCAGAATGAAAAGTAAGCAGGCAAAAATATAAATTGCTTTTTACCATATGGGAGAAGAAATCAAGTTTTTCAGTTTAATATCTGAAACAAATGCTTTTTGAGTTGGCTTTTCAGTGTTGCACACATTTATTCACTAGGGTTTCTCTAGATTAGATGCTAAATTGCATTTTTAAAGAAAAGGCTGGGAATACACAATATATGAATAAGCTATTTTATAATTTCCTAAAAGTTTATACAGATACAATAGTGCTTTATTTATATTTGAACTGGGAAAGAGACTATCAATTCTAGTATTTTCTTGAAATGACCCATAACTCAGAACATTGGAAAAATTTTGTTTAACTAACAGTAAGAATAAGATTGAGGGGTTCATTAGGTTTACCTATAATTGCTGCCCATGTTATGATCATAACCTTTTATGAATGTTGTAGGATAATCTCCTAACTATAAATATATTTGAAGAAATGTGCAGAGGAAAATCTATAAAAGCTGACATTATAACATTTAAAATACTTTATACCGCATGGCAACCACACTGTTTTCTCATCTGCAATGGACAGCACCTTGCGCTCTGTTTTTAGTGTGCCATAAATTCTACCAGTTGCTAGTATTTAAATGAACACAAGGCGAAAGCTGCTTTCATTTAGTTAAAGTAAATCTTGCCAAGGAAATCAGTCAGCATATACTACATTTTAAAAAATCATGTCAGTTTTATATTTGTTTAACCATCATAGCTTTGCTCAAAGGAATCTGGGAACTGTAGTTTAGTTTGGGGCATAGAACTGCACCGTTAAGCCCTTAATCTTCTATTACAAATGGAGAGAGAAGGAAGGGAAGCCTGCAAATCTTCTGCTCATGTGTGTGTTTGAACTGCCTCACTGCCCCTGCCATGATGATAAGGCACATTTTATGAGATTCTGGTTCTCCATCAGCAAAGTTGCCTCCTGGATATTGCAGGGTGCTTGGACAAGATGTCCTCACTGGACCAGCCTCCATCTAAGATGCATCTCTTTGCCACTGTCACACCAGTCATTCACATGTTCTCTCCCTTTGGGCTCAGGCACTGCCACCACAAATAATTCCTTTGTTTTCTCCCTTGGGGGACAGTCTAAGGATGTGTAAGTACCAGGAAATAATAAGCAAATGACTGGTTTTGAGTCACAGCTTTTATGTCCCGTGGAGAACATTGCAGGAGGAATTCTCACATGGGTGGATAAAAATGCAAGGAGATCACGTAAGTAATCAGACAGTTCCACCCAACATCCTTTGGTTATCTAGCATTGAAAATTCCAGTCTCCACTGGTCTAAGCAAGCAGAGTACTAATGCCCTTATTTTTGGGAATTATGAGGAATCCTCAAAGAAACCCCCAGTGAAGCACCTGATAAAGTTTATGGGTACATGCTGAGGAAATCAGACTATTTGATGTTGAAGATGATAGTTCTAAAAAGCCTACTTTCCCCTAAGGGGTGCTTATATCGGTTATCAGCTACAGAACATCCCTGAAGTTTATATGGTGTATACAGGAGGCAAACAATCAAACTGCAGTGCATTGTGCAGTGGTGAAAGGAAGATAAAGTCTGTAGCCAAAGACTCCATGATGAGACAGTCACAACAAGTGCACTGTTAGGTGGCCCAGAATTGGAAAATTTTAAAAACTGTGACTGCATAAAAGGGGAGAAGAGAATTTCACTCCCTATTACATAAAAGAGGCTTCAATACAGCAAGCGGGTCAGAAAGATTTAAGCAGCCTAACTGCATGCAGGTTTGTGTGTTCGAGTCAAGTGTATGTTGCACTCAGTGTCCTAAATATAAGGTCAGTCATCACTTAAATTTTCTGTGGACGTTCAGATGATGTGAATATTTCATGATGCATGTCCAAGTGGTGAAAAGTGCTGATTACAACAAATTGAAGGGAGTTAACTTCCCCATGCTGTCTTTGTCAGACTCTTTCATACTAATATCTAAATGGACAGGGAATTTTGTAAAGGTATTTATTTAGATGTGTTTCTCTCTTTCTCAGGGGCCATTGTGTCAGTTTCTTCTGGAAGGGAAAGGCTAGGTAAACCCATGTGTATCAGTGCACTGATAAATACACAACCTGTGAAGAGGCTGTATAGAAAGGAAGAATGCTACTTTAATTTGGCTTGCCATATCCTGGGTTACCATGTAGGGGACAAACATCAGGCAAGTGAAATCTGGGAGTTGTCTAAACTTGCATGGGTTGAACCCCAAAATGCTGAAAAGATAGCAACCAATTAAGCACGTAATCATTTATCATAGAATTTTGGCCATTAGAGTTCAAAGTGACGGGTTCATCTTTTGTCAGAGTGCTAGTTTCTTTTGTATTGAATAAAACGGCACTAAACTGCCCTTTAGCTGAGGTTGACCTTGGTGTGCTTAATGTCACTGACATGGTTAATCAGGAGAATCAAGTTTTAGAGACTCACCTCCCTCCGCAGAACAGATGACAACAATAGGGCTGAATGGCCCATCTCCTTTGTTGTTATAAGCACCAACTTTCACTTCGAATGGAGTCAGGGGAGGCACACTTTCATCTCTGTAGATGAACTTGGAGGCATCGGAAGAGGTTACCATTTTTTCCTTCCAACCTCTTGTCCCATTGGGTCTGAATGCTACAATATAACCAAAGCCTTCTCCATTCTGAAACTCTTCCGAGACTGGCTGAAGAAAGAGAAATGTGGTTATTATTCCTTTGGTTCAGTATGGTCCAATGAAGTGCAATCACATGCATAAAGTTTCCACTTAGCCATCAAATATATTTAAACACTGCAACCTTGAAAATTGTACAATATTGGAAGAAAAGGTTAAGAGAGTATATTTGGAACACTTAATACAATGAATCTTATGAACTATATGTAATGAGCAGAGCAGTCTTATGCATATTTACTCCAAAATAACTCCCACCCAGAAGAAACTTCTATTCCCATACTGTATTCCTATTAAGGATTCTGTTCCTAGATAGATGATAGTAAAATTCAGGGTAAGATTATTTTTATTGCATTCTATCTGTTTTGTATACCACCCAATAGCCAAAACTCTCTGGGTGCTGCTATAAACCATCCAGAGAGCTTCAGCTATTGGGCAATATACACGTATAATGAATAGAGATATAATTAATAGTAGTACACTTAATAATAATACCCATATGACCTATTTTACACTGGATAGGTCTATATCCAAAGAGTTGTCAGAGGTCATGTAGTCCAAGTAGGGGGTTCAATGTAATGGCGAAATGAAATGGTGAGAGTATTGGCGGGGGGGGGGGGGGGGTGTCAAGGGGTGGCTAAAGGCTCCAGATGCTAGTCCCCACTCAGCCATGAAGTTCACTAGGTGACTTTGGGCCAGTCCCAGGCTTTCAGGCTAAGCTACTGTGTGTTGTGAGGATAATCTGGAGAAGAGGATAAACTTGTAAACCACTCTGAGTTCCTTGCAAGAGAAAGAAAGGCAGAGTATAAATATAATGCTGTGATGGTGATGATGAGGAGGAGGAGGAGGAGAGAGAGGAGGGAGGGCTTTGAAGCAGCTGCATCAAGAATTATTACCTGGATGACAGACAGAGCAGGTACACAGTTCAGCTGGTCGTGGTATGCACTAAGGTGGGATTTATCATTTTTCTATATAAATTATAAGAATTGTCTCAAAATGTGCAGCTACCTATATAAAATAGGAGTTGATAGAGTGTATGCAAATCTGTGTCCCCTTTTGTCCTCTTTTAAGGGAGATGCATTTTGGTGATGTCTAAGCAGTCAACCTAGGAAGACTCCCAGTTTTGAGAAAGAAGAGGCGTGTACATTATCAGACATGAGAATTTATAGAGCAGGGGGGTCCAACTTTTTGTAACTTGAGGGCTACATGAGAACTTCAAAATGGAACCTGGGGGCTGCAAAATGAGTTACATTTCCATATAATAAATTTAAGTGTTGGCAACATATTTATTTTATTTAATATACACAATATAGTTAATTAACCATTAAACAAGGGAGAATTAATTTTAAGATAGTTTTTGGACTAACTGAATGACAGACCCACACTTTGTGGGCCTGTGATCTCTGCCGAGAGTGCAGGCAGCTCCTTCTCCAACCACAGTCCAAGCACAGTGACCCTTCCTCTGGGGTGGCCCATCCCTTCCTTCCCTGCTTCTCCCACCCAGAAACTCTCACATGTGACCCCCGCTGGCCCCACCTTCCTTCTGGGAATGGGCATGCTGAGCCTCTTGTACCTGAGTGGATGAAATCTTCCCAGCATGACCCAGCCACTCCCGTGGATCAGTGCTCGTCAGCTGGAGCAGCGGGTGCCATGACAGGGTGAACTCTCATGAAGCTATTAGCCCAATCCACTGGCGAGAGGGCCACAGAGCAAGGCCTCGAGGGCCACAAGTGGTCTGTGGTCCATGTGCTGGATCATACTGTTATACAGCAATTTTAAATACCAGAACAGAGAGGATCTGTGGATCTACATTTACTTTTAAGAAGATTCTTGCTCCTTTAAAATTATACTTCTAGCTTATTAGAAAAAAAACCTTATAAACATCAGAAAATATCCTTAAAGCCAACAGTTTTGATATGCTTTATGTTGTGCTCAAATTATGCCATTTGAGGGAAAGGAAATCGCCAACAAAATATTCAGCCAGCCAGCCAACCAATATTTTTGACCATTTCACTCATGCTCAAACATCTCTTTAAAAATAGGATAACTGTCCATGTGTAAAATGTCATTCTGTTTTTTTCTCTTTTTTAATATGTGGTGAGATTTCTTGGAAGGGCCATTTTTAAAAAGTTAAATAATTCCTGGCATATCTGTAATTATTTCCTGACATTTAAAATGAGATGCCCATACATCACTCAAGCTAGATGCCTACTGCTAACACACAGTTTCTCATTTAAAGAAAGCTCTTAAAGCCTTCCAAAATATGTCGTATTTTTCTCCTGGTATCATTTACAAGGGTCTTAGTGCCTGAATGTGAACATTTCTTTAGCACCAGTGGGAGCTTTCTTTCCTTTGAAATAGCAGGTGCAGAACTGTGTGGTTAAGCCATTGGCTGGAGCCACTTACTGGAAGCTTGTGGTTTTCTTATTAGAACAGTCTCACTGCCTACCATCTGTTTCTGAACACAATTCAGAGTGTCCTAAAGAGCTCTCTCAACAGTGCAGAGTGGTGAGTCCAAGGTCAGTGGATCCACTCTGGGTTTAGTCTGAACTTCAAAGAAGTTATTCGTGGAACTGAACCATACAACCTGTCTCCAGAATAGGTTCAGCACCATGGATAGCTCCAGATGGCAATCTGGAATGAACATACTGGCCAATGACATTGGAACCAGCGGTCTTCATTGGCTATTCAGGACCTGGCTACCTGAGCATCTTCATTGTCCTTTCAAAGTCTGCTTAGGAATTCAGATCTTGCACAGCAGCCCTTTTCTTGGTTCCACAATCATTGGAGGGATGTTTGGTAGGTACATGAGAGAGGATCTTCCAGGTGGCTACACCCAGGCTCTGGAACTTGCAGCCAAGGAGGGCTAGAATGACTTTCTCTCCATTTCCACTGGTTGGCAAAAAAGTTTTTATTCAAGAAGTCATATCTAACCTGGTCTGCGGTTTAAGCAAGTTCTATTGGTTTAGATACTGATTTATTCATTGCTGCTAATCTTTAAAATTTAGTTTTTAATTTGCTTGTTTTTATAATTGCCTTGACTACATGTATGTTAAACTTACTTTTCTTGTGTTGAGCTGCCATGACCTCCATTCATTTCATGGAATGAAAAGAGAACTTTGGTTTTTGAGTGGTATAAAAAGGAAAGTAATAGATTCGAGATAGATAGGGATGGCTCCAATCTATATTTCATGAAAGCTAGCCTCCCTATTTATTTATTTGTTTGAGTTATATCCTGCCTTTTTCCTTTTTTAATGGACTCAAGGCTGCTTATATCATTCTCCCCTCCAGCTCTCAATCCTATCACCCAGCAACAACCCTGTGAGGCTGAGAATCTGTGACTGGCCCAAAGTCACCCTGTTAGCTACATGGCTGAGCGGGGACTAGAACCCAGATCGCCTGAGTTCCAGAACTGCACTCTTAACCACTACACCACACTGGCTCTCTCGCTTGACATAGTCCTGCTCTGGTTTGTTTTAACCACTCTGTCTTCAATTTTTTTTGGAAGACCAAATGCTAAGATCATTTCTGAAAGACCAAATACTACGAATAAGGGCATTTCTTATTTGGCCACCCTCTTTCAGTGCTACCAGTGTCCTGAAAACCATGCAGCAAAGAGGATCAAAGGAAACCAGACTTCTTGAGAAGGACCAAGCACTGGTGGATGTCTTGACCATCATAGTCTGGAGACCTTCTATTAAGGTTGCTGTTCTAGATTGTGAGAAGGGGAGGGTGTAGGGCTGGAGCCTCAACATCCCTATCATTAAAAAGTGCCAGGGCTGTGTTCCTGTGAGCCCCGGCTCTACTCCATCACTGTTGTCAACTGCAAAATTATTGTTCACTGGTGGAAGTGAAGGAGATCCAGTTCCCCAAACGCATGGATTATTAGTTGCTGCTGCGTGTGACCAGGTTAAAATGAACTGCTGGAAAAAGTGAAAGCAATACCAAATAAACTTGGGATTCTGTTGAGAATAATGGGTTCTCCAAACTGCTGGCACTCTTTCTTCCTAAGAAACTGCAACCCTCAGGGAGATTTTAACAGTCATTTAAGGCATGATCTTGTGTGTGTCTATTTTGACAGGCTTTGCTTTGGGCAGCCTCCATGCAGACCTCTGTTGCTGGCCCTCAAAGAAGTCAACATGAAACAAGGACGTTAATCAAAAGAATGCCTTACCTCCCATGCTATTACTAATTCATGCCGTCTTCCACTCCTGCCGCTTACATTAGCAGGAGCTGTCTTTGGAACTGTGAACAAAAAGAGAAAAGGAGAAAGGGAAAAATCAGAATGCCCAAGTTAGTGAGGCATTTCCCCAAAGTGATCCTCTCCTCAAGAAGATGATATGCCCTGGGCAAATCAGGTTGGAAATAAAAATAATTAAAGGGAAGGAAGAACTACAGATGCTGCCTAAGCTTGGATTTTGTAACTCTGTTTTGAGGGATCCTGAAGTGAAGGCTATTAATTGTAACTGTGCCAGAAAACTCTGCAAAGGAGGAAAGGCTAGGGAATAAACAAAATGTGTGACTCAAATATGTCCATGTGAAATCTGAAATAGTTTGAAAACACCTGAAAAGAAGTGAAATGGTTCTCCAATCTTATCAGCCAAATTTGAAGGAAGACTGATCCAAGCCAACAGTAATGGCAGATCTACATCCATTGTGGAAATTCAGTCAGAAAGCAGCTTTGGGTGCTCATAAAGGATTTGATCAACTGTCCAGTTTTACTGTTTGGGACTTCAGAACCATCAGTCTCTGTGTGTGCATGTCTGTGAAACACCCAGAAAGCAATGCTAGTACAGGTTTAGCTATATTTGGTTTGGCATCTCATACCTTGTGCAGTTCTGGCCTGTGGCTGCTTTTCTCTAGTTTTTAAGGAAGTGCTTGCTTGCATGGTCTGGTACCAAATTGGATGATTTCTTTCTACATGTTTTAACTTATTAATTTTGTTGTTGGTTTAATATGGATGCTTTCCTTGTTATTAGAGTGGATGGAATCTTGAATTTACTCCTCCACTAATGAGATGTTGCTAGCAGTGAAAGTGGTCAGCAACTTTCACTGAATCCCCCTGCCTCTTGGGCTTCCTGGAAATTTGCTCTGGAGGGTTGTGGGAACCCTGAGAATTATATGGAAGTACTGCAGCAGAAGGGGATGATCAGAAAATAAATAATTCCCTGCATCTTCCACAGATGGGATCCTCCCTTGGATTTGTATTTGGAAAGTCTTGTAATGGACGGTTAGGATACATTTCTTCCAATTAAAGAGTGGGCAGAAGGTACATATGGTAGAGTCCTGGGTGATCTGCAGTAGACTGGCAAGGATGACATGCTTCCAGTTATTTAACAGAAGCGATTGAGACTATGATTTCAGCTCAGTTCTGGAATGCTGAACAAATTCTCAGGCTCAGAATTCTTTAATTTTAACTCAGTATCTTTGGCACGGGGATGCAGGTGGCACAGGGGTTTAAACTGCTGTGCTGCTGGACTGGTTGATCAAAAGGTTGCCGGTTTGAATCTACACAATGGGGTGAGTTCCCATTGCTCTGTCCCAGCTCCTGCCAACCTTGCAGTTTGAAAGCATGCAAATGCAAGTAGATAAAAAGCTGCCACTTTGGTGGGCAGGTAACAGCGTTCCGTGCACTTCGGTGTTTAGTCATGCCGGCCACATGACCACGGAGACTGTCTGCGGACAAACGCTGGCTCCCTTGGCTAGGAAATGGAGATGAGCCCCCTAGAGTCAGGCATGACTGGACTTAATGTCAAGGGGAAACCTTTACCTTTACCTTATCTTTTGCACTAGGCATTCGTTGGTGTATCTTGGGGTTCCAATGAAAGTGCTAAGAAAAGCCAGTGTAGATCCTGCAGGCTGGAAGTATCAGTGAGTTGGCAGGCTTGCCAACAGTTAGATATATAGTTTCAGGGACATTAGCTAGCCATTCCTGGTCATATAATGACATTAAGAGCTACCCCAGCTGATGGCATAGCTGAGTCCTCTCCTTATTTGTTTATTTATATAGTGCATTCCAAAACCAGAGAAGAATGAAAACTTTACATAGGGATGTTTGTGTAGATCTCTCTGTCTGTCTGTCTGGCATTATGGATCTTTAAAAATCTTATACCAAGTTTTACAAAAGTCTTATACTTGTGCTGTATCTTAACTTGTTGTTGTTCTTGATGATAAAGATTTATTAGTCCTTTGCCAGAAATGTAGTGCAATATATTAAGGGTGCAATCCAAGGCGTGTTTGACAGATAAAAAGCCCTACAACTCCTCGCATGTTGGTTACGGCTTGATGGGAATTGCAGGCTTTTTCCTGTCTAAACATGCATAGGATTGCACCTTAAATCAAAGTGTGTTATTTATTTGCACATTCCTGGGAAAAATTGCCCTTTTCTTGGCATACATATGGCTGGTGCCTTATTTATTCATCTGCCATTTCACTTATTCAGAGCACAGTCTTGTGTTGAAGCATCTAAGCTGACAGACTTGTTTGTTACTCAGCCAGAGATGAGCACCTTTCTAGAGGATTGTTGGTAATGCCTTGTAGGCTGAAGCTCTCCTTAAATAAGTAAGTATTAGAAGAATAAACCTGTCCAAAGAATGAATCTCCCTCTGCCCCAAACTGTAAAATACAGAGACATACAGTGAAACTGTGTTGAATGAATAACCATTACAAAAAATAAATATGTCAGTGCAATATTTTTCTCTGCATTGCACCAAACCAAAAACAAAACAAAAGTAACAACACACAGTCAGAGAGGAAACACACTTAAATGAATAAATGTTCAGTGAGGGAAACTATTAAAATTAGCCATTTTTCCCTATTGACACTGGGACTGTATATTAGTAGCTTTCCCTGAAACTTAATGTTATAGAATACAATTTTATACCAAGGGCTATTAGCTATAACCTATGTTTATGATCATATAATTAGTACCATGCTGCAAGTGTAGATATGAATTATCAGAGTTTGCTACAGATATTGGTCAATAAATACAGATGCCATGTGAGGAAACCTAACCAGAAAGAAGTTATGTAAGAAGTGAAGAAATTCTCTTAAATCAAGTAGTTAACTTTCTCATGCATGGCAACCATCAGAACGTTGGTATGTGTTCTCATGAATAAATTGCAAATCTCATCAGCCATCCTGTTAATTTGCTGTCCATCATGCAGAGGAAAGCAAGCCAGCTGCTAGCGTATAAATAATGCTGCATTTATTTGCCTAAATCGTTTTAAAAGGCCAGTGTGGTGTAGTGGTTAAGAGCATGGGACTGGGACATACGATACGGGTTCTAGTCCCTGCTCAGCTATGGAGCAAACTGGGTGACTTTGGGCCAGTCAGAGACTCAGCCTGCCCTCCTCACAGGGTTGTTTTTGGGAGATAAGATTGAGAGCTGGAGGAGGAGAATGACAAGAAGTTTGAGTTTGTAAGAAAAAAGTAGGATATAAATCTAAATAAATAAAAAAATAAATTTTGGGTAGTACTGAAATGAATGGGCTGTTTCTAGGTTCCAAAGCACAATCTTGGGGAACTCATAGCATGTATAAGTGATGAAAATGATTACAGGAATGTTAATGATGAAGATAAAGATGAAGATAATGATGATTGCTATGCCAGCTCTGGGTGACAAATTCCACCTTTCCAGGTATGATTACTGAAATGATTTTGTGCTCTAATTCTCACTCCCATTTATAGGGAGAAATTTACAATTAACAGTCTATCTTCCAATTTCCCTATTAATGCGTGTGCCTTAGACTGTATGTCAAATGAGTTTTCTGGATAGCCTGGATTTACTTTAACCATTAGAAATGTACTTCTTACCAGTTTTATGGGAGTGATGGGCAGAGGTGTCCCAGTATTCAGAGTTTTTCTAGGAACTGTCATATCTTCTTGGAGAAAATTCCTACCAAATTTCAGAGACCTATGCCATCAAAAAATACCTAAATATAAGCCCGTCTTTCCCTCTATATCTATATAAATGCTTTCAAGTAATTGACCCATGCTAGACATCAAAATAGGAGGCCTGGAGGATATTCCCAAACTATCACAGCCTTTCTGAAAAGACATTTCAGAAATTGGAAGACATTCTGGCCTGACGCAGGCATCGCAACTCCATAAAATTCACATCACATGGCATGTAGGGCCATGCACAGTATCTTGCTCTCAGTACCGTGCTCACTTCTGGCCATGTCCTGGGTCCTGTCTACCGAGAAGTAGGCTGCCAAATGCACATTCAACCATGCACAATGCATCATGTTCAACACCTGGCAGTAGAAACCTGGACGTGGTTATGGAGCACAGAGCCTGCCTATTCAGTGTCAGATTGTTGGAGCAACTCGTCTGCTTGACTGACAGCATCTCTTCAAGGTCTCAGGCAGAGACCTTTCCCATTGCCTGCTAGCAGAACCCTTTCCTTGGATATGTCAGGGAACTTCAGCATATGAAACCTGCACTCCTCTACTAGGTAGAATGCCAACGTTGGACAATTTCTCATGCAACAGTCGAAAGCTGAGCAAAATCTATTTCTCATCACAGGGCTGGTTTTCCAGTCTAGAACAGGCAAAGCTGCACATGGGATGGGAATGGTGGGCTGCAGGAGTTCTGTTCCCCTTTGTACATGAGAACTGACTCTGAATTCATGGAAGGACAGGTTTTGCACAGGCATCCTGAAATTTACGTCTGAAAAGAAGTATGGGGCAGTTCTTAGAGTGACCACTTATACATTGCCAGAAAGATGACAGAAGAGGACACAGATTTGAATGAAATGTGCACATGCTAATTTGCACGTGTAAATCCAAATTTAGAAATAAGTATTCTAATCAAAATAGAAATATAATTTCATCACAGTGTAGAAAGTTGTAACTGTGGGCTTGTCTATTTAGTCTGCTGTCTGGGTGCTAGCAGCTGATGGACAAATTCAGGGACCTTTCTGGTTGTTCCTTCATTTGGTTCCTTAATACCTCTGAGACCTCTTCAAATACCGTTCTTTGTGAAATAGGATACTCAGCTCCTAAAACTTATTCATGCTTATTTAGGAGTAGGTCCAACTGAATTCACCCTCTTCCAACACTTTGGAAGCTCTTTCACATCACCTTGTGCTTTCCTGCATGCTGGACACCTTCATGCCACCCCAAAAGTGAAAATGCATCAGCAAAAGGGAGAAGGAGAAGGTGCTGATTAGTTTGAATTATGCATACATGGCTTAAATGTATAGATGCATGTTGAGAAATTATTATTCTAATTCAATCAGA